TTTTTTTTTTTTTTTTTTTTTTTTTTTATCCCTACAAGAAACAATCAAACAACTAATCCAACAAGCAACCTGCTCAGCCTGTGTTAGAGGTTTAAGGATACCAGGAAAGATGCCCAAGCTCTTCTCTCAGACAAGTGCTGAAAATGAAGTAACCCACCAAAGCTAAAGCACATGGGGTCAAGGGTTAAAGAAGCAAGTGAGGTCTGGGAAAGGTCTATGTAGGAAAGGATCTCAAATGAAAATGGGAGTGGGTTTGGGATAGGAAAAGGAACTGGGGATGGTTCTTCTGGTGGAAAATTATAACAATAAAGCCCAGGATGAGAAAGTGACAGTATAATGTGCTAACCCTGAAGACAGCAGCTGCCTTCAGTCTATGTTTTCAAGGAATGGCGAGGAGGAATACAGTCAAATAAATACAGGGTGAAGCCTGTATGGACTGGGTCATGGAAAAAAAAAGAATTTGGACACTATGTACAGAGCAATTAAGAGTGGTGAAGGTCTGGAGGATTGCAAGGAACACAGTATATTTGATGTTTGAGCCAGTTCTAAACATTTGCAGGCTGCCGCTTGCAACAGACTTGTTGCCTGTTTTAAACCAATTAGAATAATTACGTTCATGGAAAAAAAGAGAAACCTGCAGCTCCCACTGATACTGCAAATTACTCAAATTTGGAGTATTAAAATTATGAATTTCTCTTAAATGCCTTTTGATATGAAGAAACATCAATGTGCAATTTTGGAACAATAAAGCAGGTAAGTACAAGTAGTTAAAAGTGGAGCAAAGAATGCAGTCTAACTGGCAAAGAAAATGTCCCAAACCCAACTTATTTTTTAAATATTATAGAGTACCTTTTCTGCAGTGACCAAGAGAAAAATATAATGTTCTCTACATGTATTTTAATCCCAAGCCCGAGCAAAGTATTTCTCACTTTTGTTACCTATATTTGAGGCCCAAACTATCGGATGGATTCTAATTTTACTTACCCGTCAGCAAACATGGAATCAAGGTGTAGAAAAGCCACATGATAATACTTGTCCGGAAGCCTTTTAGAACCATTGTGAGGGTCTGTTTGGCAGACTTACTTTGACCTGGAACATTCCTTTTACAATGAAGCATTCTGTCCACTCCAGCCATCTTGCTTCAGATTGCAAATATTGGAGCTGAGGTCTGAGTTGCAGTTTTGTTCTGGAAAGAGGAGTTGGCTCAAACAGCACAGAAGGGCGGGCTGTGCAGCACCCTCCTTTCTACCCAAACCCATATATTGCAGCAAGGGGAGTGGCTTAAAAGAAAGCAACTCTGGGGAGCTTGAGAATCAGCCTAGGGGAAATCTCTGTAGCACAGGATCTGTTAGGTCAGAGAGGGTGTTCCTAGAGGTCAATAAGCAGGCACAATAATCTTCTCCTCATCACATAGCTGTACTTTTCCAAATTTCCTTCAGCGAGTTTATTCAGGCTGGGTACTGATTAGCTTTTTGCTAATATATACCTACTTCCAAAAAAATGGAAAAGTTTTTTTTTTTCTTTTTTTTTTTTTTTTTTTTGGTACTGAGGATCATACTTGGGTCCTTGCACTTGCAAAGCAGGTGCCAGAAACACTGAGCTAAATCCCTGGCCCTTTATTTAAATTTTTTGAGATAAGGTCTCACTGTATAGTCCAGGCTAGCCTCAAACTCGTGGTGATCATCCTGCCTTAGCTTCCAAAGTGCTGGGATTACAGGCATGTGTGCCACTATGTCCTGCAAGACTTTTCAAAAGACTAAGAACAGCTTCATTTTTATGTGCAATTGCCAAAAGAAAACCTAGAAGGAGATATAAGAAACTAACATGATTGTTTACCTTAAGGCAAAGGGAGTGGAACTGGGAAAATGAAAGTGAAAAATGGGAACAAGACTCTTTACTGAATATCTTTTTTATACTGTTTGATTATTGAATTATAGAAATGTGTATTACTTAAATAATTAAAATCAATTTTTAAAATTGGAAGGAAAACCTTATAATTGAGTTTAACCTCTTAAACTCCAGCTCTTCCAGTTTTAGTCTGAGTGGTCCCTCCTGGGTGCTAGCCTTCCTGTGCTGCAGCATAGGCCTTGTTCAAATAAAGACACCGTCTTCTCTCTCTCTCTCTCTCTCTCTCTCTCTCACACACACACACACACACACACACCCAAAGTGAAGGTGGGTTTTAGAGTAGAATATGTTCTGGGTCTAGTATTTGCAGTACAACCTTGGGAAAATTAGTCACATATTTATCCATTTGATAAATATTCTCTGAGGGCCTATTATGTGTTAGATCTTTTAGGGGAAAGGAGTCAGCAGGCAGGGAAGGAACAGAATAAAGCCTTCGTTAGGCTTTCTGGCTAATTCTGACTGAAAAGAATTACAACTTTGCTGGAGGGAGCAATCAAAAGGACAAGGATAGAAAGAAGAAACCAGATAAAGAAAGGCACCAAATGTCATTGGGACTTACATTAAAGGATCAGGAGGACAAAGGGGAAGCCAGGTGCTGGAAACCAAGGTAACCACCCTTCTACCTCAGTAAGATGAAAAGGAGACAAAAGGGGAAGGGGGATACTAACTTAAAGGCAAACTATATAAAAATATACAGTGGTATCTCAGTTTACGAACTTAGTTTGTTTTACTATTATGGGGAAGATGGCTGCATTTGCGTTTGTGTGGCTGTGTGTGTCACCTGATGCAAATTTGCAAATGCAGGCAAAATTATGCCAAATGCTTTTGTGTGTGAACTGAATTGCTTGAAAACAGAAGTGTTTGAAAACGGAGGTATTACTGTATATGTATTCCCACTGTAGGGCACTATATTGCTGCACTAGATAACATACATCCCCTTACTCATAACTTTTAAGTTGCGTTTTTTTTTGTTTTTTGTTTTTTGTTTTTTAGGTTGCCTGTTAGACTAGGTAACCTATAAATCCCAGAGACAAGGCCCTGACAAGGACAAATGGGCAAGGAGAAATCAAAGTCTACCAAAGGAATGTGCACATAGACCCTGTTGCCTGGGTTAGAGTCCTATAGCCTGAGATCAGATCTATCCATGACAGTCCAAAGAGACAATCTGGTTGTGACAAGTTCTAGGTACCTACCTGGGAGGGAGGCTCTTATCACCAGATAAGCTGGGGGCAAAGCCCACAGAAATCAATCTTTCTGGAACCCCCTTACCCCACCTTCAGGGCAGCTTTCCGTCTTCTACTTTCTCCTTTTTACAAATAAAGTGTCTTCCTTTTTTAAAACTCCATTCCTTGATTCATTATTTGTGCTGAGTTTATGATTCCAGTTGGCGGCTCGTTTCAGCAAAAAGTAGTGCTCACCCCCAGAAGCAACAATCCTGAGTATTCAACTGTTTTTGCTCCCCTGAAAAGAATTTCCTAATTACTGGAGAAGAAGCACATGGAAATAATCATAAATCAATGTTAAAAATTCAGTGACAGAAATATTCACGAGGGAATACAGAAGCACTCAGAAATGTAAGAGTCAGCCTGTGGGATAACAGAAGGCCTCCCGGAGGAGGAGTTGTCTTTATGGTTGAGTTAAACTAAAAAAAAATCAGCCAGGCATTGTGTTTATGATACCGTAAGAAATTTGTGGAAGGAGAGATGGGACTGTAAGACAGCTGCACAATTCCAAAGGGCTTTCAAAGTCTTGTGGAGGGGCTTTGAGTTTAACCTAAGAACAATGGTCAAAGGAAGGGTTTAAAAACTCAAATTGAAAAAAATAAATAGAAATAAAATCTCAATTGATCAGGTATTCCCTACATCTGGTTCTTAAAAGTTTAAGACTAGGTGGAGAATAGTAAAGGAAGCCACAGTTGGCAGGCATGGGGGAAGGAGGGATGACTGTGGCAGGCATCTAGGCCACAGATACTGTTGGTCTACACTAGGTTGTCCATGACTGAGAGATGTGACCACATTTAAGATATAGGAGGTAGATGGACAGCTTCTGAATATTGAGTGCATTGGGAGATGCCAGGAGAAGAGGAGCCAAACATGACTTTCAGGTTCTGGGTTTGGGTAAGTGGGTGGATGGCAGCAACTCAACGGAAATAAGAGGAGCAAGATGGGGTGGGGTCAGAATGGGCAGGGTTGGGTGGTTCAGATAAAGATTCATGTATTCAGCTTGATACACTTGAGTTTGAGATGCTCACACAGGTAAGGGAATTCTCTAGTACATAAATAACCTTTGTCTTGATGGCTGTCAATGGCATGGTTCCCCCTCCACTGCCTGCAGTATTTCACTGGTGATGATAAGATCATCCAAGGAGAACATGAGAAGGGCTATGACTATGTCCCTGAAGGAGACTCACAATTACAGACCAGGACAAAGAAAACAAACGGGGAAGTAGGGCCAATAGGTAGGTCAGAGAAGTGGTCCTAGAAATAATGAAGAGTAAAGTGATTATCCCAGTAGAGTGCAGAGGAGAGGACCGCTGAAAAACATGAGTTTGATCACTGAAGTTGATCACTGAAAAACATCCTCTGGATTTAGTAACTGGAATCACCTGTAAACTCAGCAAGAAGTTTCAGTGGAGGCCTTGGATCAAAAGCTAGATGACTGTGGATTGAGGAGATGCAAAAAGTAATTTTGCATTTTTTTTTTTTTTTTTTTTGTACCAAAGATGAAACTCAGGACCTCACTCTTGCCAGGCAGGCACTGTGCCGCTGAGCTACATCCCTGGCAAAAAGTCATGCTTTTTTTTGGGTGGGGGTGTACTTGCAAGACAGGCAGGCGGCATCACTGAGCTCAACAGTTATGCTCTTTTGATGCAAAGCAGGAGAAAACAACTCTGTGAGCCTCATGATTTTTATCTATTTCGTAAATACAATAATGCCTTGCATAATGGTTATAGGAACTGAAGAATGCAGACAAAGCACATTAGCATACTGCCAGACACGTAAGTCTTTACCAATGGAATAGTCTGTTAACCATTTGTTATATTTCTAGTAATAACAAAAAGTTAGAGACTTGTTTGCTTTAAATGCCTGGCCCTTTGCTGGCTTCCTATCTTCTGGTTTTCATCTAAAACAATAAAGACCTCCAGTTAAAGGTATCCACTAGAAGATAGTTAAAAGGATGAGCCAGACTGCCTAACCTCCACTTACTATTTGTTTCTGTAACCAAGTCATTTAAACTGCCTGCCTTAATACCCTCATAATTGGGGACAATTATAGTATCACTGAACTTATAGGACTGCTGTGAGGACTGAATGAGACAGTACACTTATAACAGTATCCGGCACAAAATAAATTTCGGCTGCATTTTTTTAAACTGCACGATGGTGAAAAAAACACTTGGTGCTCTGGGTGTGGTGGCACGTGTCTGTAAACCCAGCATTTGGGAGGCTGAGGCAGGAGATCACTTGAGTTTGAGGCCAGCTTGGACTACATAACAAGATGTCTTTAAGATGTAGTCAACAAAACACTTGGTGCACATTCTTCCTGATCCCAGTACTAAATGGTTACATCTGTGTTCACTCGCTGCATGCACAGCATCACATGTCATCTGGCATCTAACCCTGACCTTGCCTCATAGTGTAGCTTCATACATGGCTTCAACATCTGTCTCCACTCTATGTTCTTCTCCCAGTCCTCGTTTCCTGATTTCTCTACTAAATCCACTTATGTGCAGGTCGAACACTAACAATACAAGCTAACATGAAATGTAAGACTTAAAGTCTCACTTCCACTCCACGGAGCGTGAACAGCCGAAAAGGCCTCCATAATGCTGGGTCCTAACACCCAGCGAGGCTCCAGGAGCTCAACGGAGAAACCCAGGAGGGAACACACCAGGCTAGATGGTAAATAGACCTTTAGTAGTCTGGCCAGACGCCACTCCCGGAGCCAGGTAGCTCAGAGAGGCCACTGCTCAGGGGCTGAGGTCCTTTTTATAGGGTTTTTCTAAACAAAAAGTCAGGGAATTCACAAAACTACCAGAGGACAAGATTCCAAAACGCATTGCTTATCTCGTGCAGGAAATGTTCTATGGTCACCTTTTGTCATACCATTTGCCCCTGGGCGGGCTGTTAGCCAAGTTAGCAATTAGCATATGAAGAAGCACAGACTCTGGCCTATTAGCATGGAGTCACTTTAGCTTATTCAAGTCTTATTAGAGAATTAGATATCTGCAATCTGCCAGGAACTGTCCTATAGG